AAAAAAAAGTATGTCTGAATTGAATTCCATGAAAATGCAGTTGACTTGGAGCATCAGACATCTTGTGAATCTATCTGTGTCTTCTGTCTGCTCTGTCCATGGGAAGCCTCAATGGTAGGACAGTGTCTGTGAATGCCATGTGCTAGTGAGAGGAATCTGTGAAGGCACCAAACTGCTCTAAGCCTTGCACTGAACAAAGACAAACAATCCTTCATTCAGCATGTGCTAATTCCCTTTGAGATTTAAGAACAGCACCACATCTATTTTAATTCCCAGTGTACAGCATGCATGATTGGGCCTTTTTTGAGGTGCCCAAGAGCACTTTTCTCCCTCTCCCTCAATCAGTTTAAAGCTACAGCTAAACCCCTGATGTGAAGGCTTGGTAGATTAGCCCTAACTTGGCTCTTGTCATTTTTTGATGACTAAACAGCCATTGTAGCCTGAGTGTCTTTGTGCAGGGTTTGAGATGTTTTGTTTTTGCTTAGTCTGATGCATCAATGGGAAGAGAGATGGTTTATGTGTGTGCTATACTTTTTAGAGTAGTAGTAAATAAAACCCCTAGACCTTTTCTGGCTAAAGGGTGACTGGGAAGAGTTCTAACAATGGGATATTGTGACACAGATGGTTCATTTTGCCTTTTCCACCTAAACAAGTAATTGGCCACAGCATCAGGAACATGAACCTGCAAGTTACAGCATTAAGTTCCAGTCCCACTAATGAGAGCACTTGGAGATTTGCAGGCCTTGCTTACACATGCATCAGAAGTTCACTGAACTTCTGATCTGCCTGAGAGAGTGCTTCTGTCTTTCTGCACCCTGGACATGGAAGGAGCTACACAGAGATCCCATTTCTTGGCAAAAGGGAACTGCAACACACTCTGTGCCTTCCCAAAAGAGCAAGCTGCAAATATTTAATTTTGTCTCAGATGCTGTACTCAGCTAGGAAAGGTGCATTGACTAAGACTGTGGCTATTGTGATTGGAGAAAGACTTTATTTTTTAGTAAAGAAATGATAGAATTGGAGGGCAAAATTAAACTGAGTTGTTTAGATGACTCACTTACCACATGAGCTGCTTCCAGCTCTAGGTCTGGCAAACTCTGCATTTTAATAGCCTTTTTTTATATTGGTTTAAATGTGGCTAAGTTGTAAAAAACATATGGAAAGTCAATCTCTTACTGCTTTGCATGCAGTCTTTCTGAGTCACAGTCAAAATGCAGTTTTTCATTTTGCTTGAGGCAACATCATGTGATGGTAACAACAATGCTTTATTAAGTTTTCAATCCCCCCACCCCCTGCCTTAACTATAAAATTGCCCTAATGTAAATGAAAGTTAGAGACTGGGTCGGTTTCCCCAAAACAAAAGTGTAATTTTCTTGCAAGGGGATCTTAAAGGGCCTGACTCTGGTTCTGCCTCATGGTAAGCTCAGCAACTTGAAAATTCATGGAGCTACAATGATGTGAGAGCAGCTTCAGACTGGACATTGCTAATCTGTGAACCTCACTGTTAGCTCTTCCTAGAAAAATCAGCCAGTTGTGATGTCAGGAAACCTCAGGCTGGAAAGCTGCTAAACCCCCTGTGGCACAGATCCAAGGTGGAGGTAGCTGCAGCTTCTTGAAGGTTCTGCCTGGGGGAGCAGTTGGGCAGCAGCCTATGAGAACTGTGACCTGTGTGAGGGAGGCACAGGGAGAGAACAGATCTCAGCAACATTATGTGTTGGAGAGCTGAGGTTAGGAGCCTAAACTGCCTCTAGTGTCAGTGGAGCTGGTAAAGAGAGATTCAAGATCCCTTGAACCCATATGGCAAAGGAGAGGTTCAGCACATCTGTTTAAGATTTGTCTAGTAGGTAGATAACTTTCTGCTTTGCCTTCTACTGCTTTGACAAATTATACCTGAATCAGTTTATAAAATTAGGGTACAGATCAGCTTTAGAAAAGCCTGGTGCAGTACCATAGCTTTAAAAATGTTTCCAAATATGCACCATGGCTCTGTAATAAGAATTGAAACTAACTTCAGTGAGTTGAACATGAGAGAAACAAAGACCAACAACTAGGAATGTTGCCCCCAACACAGATTCTCTGATGTAAATCCTCCCCTATCTGAATTTATTAGCTGGGGTTTAGCAAATGGTGCCTTGGAATAATGAGTGAACAATGCCACTCTGCGTTTAATAAGAAACATCTGTGTATAACTGTTCAAGGATCTTGTGAAACAATTGCATCAGAAACAAAAAGCTGAAACCCTTCTGTTCCATTTCAGGAACCTGAACACAAGCAATTCCAGGAACATCCACTATCAGAACTATCTCTCCCTGAGAGTGCTTCACTGCTTATGTTTTCAGCCTTGTATGACTTCAGGATTTTACAATGGTTTCAGTCAGGGTATGTGGATCTCCATTTGTCCAGCTACCTACAATCCAGGCTTCATTCTGATTGTGTAAGAGTATTTAGAGTATTTTAAAGAAATAAGCAAATTTTTCTTCTTTTCCAGTTGAAAGGATTAACCTGAGGGAGAGGAGATTTGGGTGGGAAATGAAGGAGGTGGCAAAGTTTCATAAAAAATGTTTGTGCAGGTATGTGCATGTGCATACATATAATCTGCTGAAGTAAATGTTAGGCTAAAGAATCTACTTCTGAAAGTCATGCAGCTAATGATAACTTTAAAAAAATTAACTGAAGTCTGTTAAAGGTTTACACTCTTGCTTGTTCATCTCCTATAGTTATACAAATAGCTGTCACCACAGTAGATTCCAGCTCTAGATGTGATCTGCATTGCCCAGAGAGGTTCTGGATTCTCCCTCATTGCAGATACTCAAGAACTGTTTTGGTGCAATCCTATGCCATGTGCACGAGGATGGCCCTGCTTGAGCAGATGAACCACTGTGGTCCCTTCCAAACTAACTGATCCTGTGATTCTGCATTCTCTTTCCTGGTAGTGACTGCATGTAGCCATAATATTGTAAGTTTACTGCTATTGTTTCTAGCAGGATTATGATGAGTCCAAAACAAAGCACCATTGCTTTCTGTTTTGTCCTCTTTCAGAACTCTGTTGTTAATTGTTATGGCCCAGCAGTGTAGGCTGGAGTTTTACTGACCCTGTGGATCCATTGCTTGCTATGTAAGGTAACAAGAGTGATGAAACACTCCCTGCTGCCAAAAGCTAATAGCAGTCAGTTATGTACAAAGGGAAATAAATGAATGTGGGAAACTGCAGTACTGGGAACAACTGTGAATATATGTGCCAGGAGCTAGCAAACAGGAGATGAAACAAGTGGCTCAGAAGCCTCTTACCTTTTCTCCTCTTCTCATTGCTGATACATTAGCTGAGTAGGCTACAGCCAATTGTACTTAATTGCTTCTCTAAAGGTTTCCTGCTGTGTCATGTACAGGAGATGAAATTAACACTCATACTAATAAATTGTCAGAAATTTTATATCCTCAAGATGTAAAGACTCATCAAGATTTTCAAGCACAGAAATACATGTTTCTGTTTAATAGGAAAAATATTGTCATCATTTCATTTGAAAGATAATAATAATCCTGTGTATAATATTAAAAAAAGGAGGCATTATGCACTTTGATCTGTCAATGAATGCTTCCAAATAGGAAATAAATTGCTCGTGAAACAGAGGATTCTTTTCACATTTCAAAAGGTTAGAAATTGAGTAGTCTTAGCTTTCCTAGACCCTGTGACAGTTTTGTACAGGTACTGATAATGGTGTTATGATTTCTAAAAGGCATTCATTCCTGTATCTAAAGTGAGCTATTGGCCCTGTGTGATGACTCAGTGTCCTAAGACCTGCGTTAAAAATAAACCCCTAAATTCTAAAAATGTGACTGCTCTCCTGGCTAGCAATTTGCAATGTACCAACATAGAAATAAGTTAGTACCAGCATGTATTTTGAAAAGCAGTCTGAGGTCATTCAAAGGGTGATTTATGACAATAATAGTGTCATGTTGCACTAAAAGGCCTCCTATACATGGGCCACCAGTTGGCAAAATGGGTATGGTGAGCTACAGAGGTTTGATCCTTAATGGCTCATTTGGTCAGATATTGGTCTTGCAGGAAATGCATTTTCAATTGTTTATGGAATGATCTGCAATTTAGGGCGAGATTTCTGTCACTTAGTGTGCTCCATCTCCAAATTTGGCCTTATCCATACTCTAAAAGATGGTGTTTCCTGGACTGTGAAACTCCACCTGGAGTGTCTCTGATGTATATATGGGGCTGACACTGCTTCAGGCATGGATTCAGTATGTTCTTGTGTTCAGAGAAAGGCCTTGGCTGGAGTCTTCATCAGTTACAAGCTCTTCTACACTAAGGGAGAGTTTAGCATGTTTTGTTTGTGGAGACACTGAGATACTAAGGAGCAGGAAAACTAAATCTGCCAGAAAGGAAGTGGGAAAAGTACAAGGAGGAGTGGATGAGCAAATAAGAAGGGAACAATCTACTAGGAAAAAAACTAAACCAGTAGGAACAATGCTCTACTTACACTCGTGGGGACAAAAGCCATATTTGCCATCGGCATCAAAGTCTTTGGTTGTGGAACACCAGAGGAATCCATCGTTGCGTCCTGCATCTGTGCAGCTATTGTATTCCTTGCCATTGAACCAGAAGGGAAATTTGCAGTATTCACCATCTGCATTTCCATACTTCACTCTAACCACTGTAAAGAGAAGAAATGCGGTTGGTAAAATTAGCCACCAACTGATATAAAAAAAATACAGTTTCTGGACATCTTTTCCTGGAAGACACTGATATAGAAATGTAGTCTGAATTTCCACTTTGAAATTCAATATGCTGCTGGTCTCTCTATTGGCAAGATGATTATAGTCAAAATAATAACTGGTAATTTAAAAAGAATTACACGGCTATTACTCATGGTGAAGTGTTAGAATCAGCCCAGAAAATATATATGTTGTTGTTACTATGGCAAGGCAAAGTTATAAACATGCTGTTAATCATTTAGTAATTTAGCTTCTCTGGTAATGTGGTCTAAAATGTTCAGTACAGTTTCAGAGGTTCCAGGCAGCAGCTGAACGTGAGCTGAACATGTCTTGTGCCTCATAAACCACTTTGGTATTTCCAATGTGACTTGAGTGAGATCTGCTGTGGCATGGGGGGATTGGGTGGTAACACAGGCACACCCAGACCCTGGGGTTTATTTCAGCTGGTCACATGTCATCCTGTGACTACAGTACTGGTGCTGTAATATATGTTAATGCATAGATAATTCACTTAGCTATAGCATTTGTTTCACTGGCAGTAACTAACTGGTTGCTTGTGCAGTATTTTCACTAATAAGGAAAAGTTTCTTCCTGCCTCTGAGACAGAGATCCTGTCCACTTAGTACAGTTACATGTCAGTGCTTCTGCTAAAGGTAAAAGGAAGCCAAATAGAAGGAAGTTGACTATTTTAGTAATAAAGTTCAATTATTTTTTTGATGAGAGGACAGCTGAGAAAACTAGAATTTGAAATGAAGACAAACATGAGTTAGCATTCTTATTCTAAGTTTTCCAAATTATTTTACATTAGAAGAATTATAGTTAGTACTAGATAATTGTGGCAAAGTTCCAGCAGAATAAAACAGGTTCCAAAATACTAATACTTGGTCTTGTTTGTCTAGTTCAGGTGACATTATCTAGACTTCAGTTGTTATCTTCTACAGGGTATGGCAAACTTCCTGTTAAAGATTATTGGAGATGTTTTTAATCAACTGATGTCAATTTTGTTTCAGTCATCAGCAAGAGGGATTTATATTCCATTTGTTTGTAAGAGATATATTAAGTACATAAAAACTCATTCAGGTGGATGGTTCTACTTTTAGCAGCTGGAGCCACAGCTTAAGTCATCTTAAAGAGGGTATGTCAGCAGAAAAACCCTGACTGGTCTGCCTCTTACAGATGAACTTAAAGGTGTTTGAGTCCTGAGAACTGGAGCATTAGTCATGGTTTTATAATTTTCCCACAATTCATGGAGGTTATGCAGCATCAGGCCTATTGTTCAGTTTTTCAAGGGGAAACAGTAGAGGAACAGAAAGAAAAATCCTAGGTAACATTTATTGAGGAATTACATACACATGTTGCAGAGAGGTATTTAAATTGTACAGATTAATTTTCACCTCCTAATATTTAATGACAGTCAATGAAAGCATTTACTGCAGTGCCTGAAACCGCATTAAAATACAGCAGCCAGCAGGCTGTGTGTTCTGAAACATTAAAAAACCTGGTACCTTGTCCTTCTCCAAGAGTCCACAGTTCATCATCGTCAAAATGGGAGTCTCCTCCAATTCCTGGCCCTGGTGCAAAGGCATGAGCCAGGAGACCATCTTTGCCATCAAAGGGATAGCCATCACCATGTTCTGTGGGAGGAAGCAGACAAAAAAGAGCAGTTTCTAATGACCTCAGCTCTGTCAGAGTCTATACGTGAATGATGATTATCATGTGTGCTTTCCCATCCAAGAAAGCAGCAGAATGCTCTATTGGGTTGTGCTGGCAAGACTGAACCAGAAGAGAAGCAGCCAGTTCTCACAAAGAACATTAAGTGTCAGTACTGTGGTTTTCACAGCATGTCATTTTATATCTCTTAAGTATTGTGGAAAGGAATCAAAGATTGTGAAGAACAGTGAAGCATTGTACATTATGACTGCATATACACTGCTCTTTCTCCACGGGGACTGATAGGGAGTTGTAAAGTAAATATTTTAAAAGAGAGGTGGTTTCAGGTAATTTTTATCAGTCTCCAACACAGAGAGTGGAGAGTAAAGGCAGATTTCATTTTGCAGGCTAGTCTTCTGCATCTCAGAGTGCTGTGCTATTTTCTTGGTGCAGGATAGTAACTACTTCAAGCAGGAAAGTAAAGCTGAGTGTCTCAGGAGTGAGCCCTCTGGAAAGCTAGCTCTTACTTGGTGCTCTGAGTCCTGAAGGAGACTATTCCTCCTCTACATCAACCACTCAGGCAGCAAACAGGGCAGCAGCAGGTTAAGTAGCTCTCCTGTTATTACACTGTAGGCTTTTCTTGGAAGTACACCACATGTGGGTAAGGCAGGCTGGCACAGGCATAGCCCTGATATTCATAGCTTTCCCACCACACTGACCTGTGCATCAAAGCTGGCTGCCAGCATCTTCAGTTGCATCATTTCTGGCCTTTTGGTCTGATGTCTTGCCATTTAACAGAAGCCGTAAATACACAGGCCTGATTCTCTACTCTATTACACTGATTTCAGGCTGGTGTCACTCTCTTCAGTTCATTCATTTCAGGAGTTGAGGGTGTCAATTGTCAAGGAGAAGATTTTTACCTATATTAGATGCTTTACTCTGATTTGTTTCAAAGTGCATCCTTTACTTAAGAGAAAGGTTAAAAATAAAAAAAACGTCGTGGATGTCTCAGCTCCTGTGAATCTGACATGCTGTGAAGGGATAAGAATGATTGAATGTGGAAGGAGCTCTGTACCCACAGTTTCTGAATTGACTATAACCAGCAAGTACTCAAACCAGCAGAAACACTTCTGCTTTTGTAAGACTTCTCTTTTTTTTTTCGTGAACTGAGCCAGACTGGATGAGGATCTGAAGTTCTGAGTGTACAGAATCTCTGAAGCTTTTGAGGTCAACTCATCAGCAGCTAAAGCAAAGAAAACCAGCTTGAAATGAAGGCTTTCACAAAGAGCTCAGTTATTCTTTGAACTGGTCACTTCACTTCCAAAGTCTACCTCCCAAGTGATTGGCTGCACAAGTATCTTCATTAGTATTAAAAATTCTGTGACTGTCCAGAAGGAGCTAAAATGCCCTGGGTTTACACTGAAAAGCTGTAAACATTCTTGCAGGGGAAACCAAAGTTAATTGAGAAGGCATGTCCAACAAAAATGAATCAAGTCACCTATCACCAGCTGGACTCAAACCATAATTCAGCTTGTGATCCATATTTTTAAATTCCTCAAGACCAAAGAGTGCCTTGAAAGCTTACATTCTGCTGTGCTTAAGAATGGAAACCAGCTATGGAGTCAAAATTAAAACCCACAAATCCATTTTTAAAGTCCAATATGTTAGAACCTTCACCACTATCACTGGAAAAGAGAGCATAGAGCTATAAATAAATGGTGTGATCCATTCCATTCTCTTCCGTGGCTGGAAGCCAGCTCACATCATCTGAAGATCTGTACCAATATTTCCCAGTTCTATTTCTGATTTGTAAATTTAAAAATACAATGTTGCCCCTAGCAATTCTCTTTTGGAAACATAAATATAGTATAAGGATATTGTATAAATACTTCTCTCTCTCTCATGTATAAGAAAGAAAAAAAACTTAGCGAAATTAGATCTTAGCTTGTACAAGCCAAGTGCAAACTAGGACAAGGTTTGCCAGAAAGGATCACGGGTGCTACTTACTCAGGGCGGATCATTCCAATAATGAGAATTAATGAAAGGAACAAAACCAAAAACATATGTAAAAATAGAAAAATATACCCCATCGGCCAAAATTAATCATAATGTCTGCTTCTCCATCCTTTATTCGGTTAAATCTCAGCGGTGTGACATCACTCCAGACTTGAAAGGCTCGAGCAAAGGCATCATCTACTGTCTCAGGATCCAAATCTGGAGTGTAGCCTATAATCCTTCGAGGTAAAAGCAAGAGTTAAGTAACACACAAACATCCTCCCTGTATCAGTTGTTTATTGATCAACATGCTGAGTAGTCTCAGTAGTGAAACCAGTGGAGAGGTAACACTGCTGCACATGAGATCTAAACACCTTCCTTTGATTCAGAGACGTGTTTAGATGTGGCACGTACTATTTATTTTCTTTTGGAACTGGCGCAGCAACAAGAAAATTATATATCCAGAGGCTGTAAAGCCTGCGTGGCAGTGGGCCTTGCACAAAACATTCCAGGTTCTGCATCAGCACTGAGGCCAGAAAAAGAGCTCAGTAGCATTCTGAAATTTCAAGTGTGGATTGTTTTGCTGTTCCATAAGAACAGAAAAGCAGCCCTGCTCCCTCACCTTTGTGACTAACTGTGTGTTGTTTCATGCCTGTTGAATGCTAATCCTTTACCAGTCTGCAGGCACATTGGCACAGGATATGTGGGGAAGTAGGAGGAAAAAGCATGCAAGATAGAGCCACAGGCCTGATGTGAGAGAGGGGCAAACTCTGAAGTGCATTGCTTTCTTCTTCTTCATATATTTTAATTGGACTTCTTGGTGCCTTATATTACAGCCAGCTATGCTCCATGCAAAGACAAGTTTCCAGTTCTTTGCTGCTAAGGCTGTGCATAGTGAAGGAAATTACTTTGTGCCTGAGGAGTATCTGAAATACTGTTGTTTGATTTTAAAATTTATTTGATGATCTCCATTTTTAGGACTGATGAGTGCAGAGGAATTTGACCTCTACAGTCAGTAAGGACTGTGGTCCTCCTAGAGCAGATGGGCAGGTGAGACACTCCTGCTCCAGCTCCCTTAGGATGCTTGTTGCAGAGCAAAGAGTAAACCCAAAATCTCTTTAGTTTTAACCAGAGCTGTAAAGTTGATCTACAGGTGATTATTCCTGAAATACTACAGTTTGAAATTTCAGAGTTGTTTGTTAAATCATCTGTTAGTTATCCAAACCCAAGGGGATTCTAATTCAAGGAATCCTGCTTAGCTCTCTGAGCAGCTACTCCACTTCTAAATGTCTTGTTTGATTGGTTCTTGAAAGTGCTAGGGTCATATGTGAGCAGAACCCACCACCACCAGTCAGTACCTGTATGTTATATGATTCTTTTCCCATTTTGGCTTTCTTGGAAAGAAGTTGTAATTGGCTACGTCAGGGTTACCACAGCGAGGCTTCTTCATTGTCTCAATAGTGTTTTGATCCAAATCTCCTGTTTCAGGCAGCCCAAAAAATTTCTGCATTTTCTTCAGAGTATCTTTCAGGACAAATAAATTGCAATTGTCTTTTGGGCACCCATAGTATTTATTCAGGTATTGCTTGGAGAAAAAAAAAGCATAGAACAAACACTTTAAAATTCATAAAAGAAATAGTTACAAATAAATACTGTAATTCCATGTTAGCTTTCCATCTGTAATTTGCAAGTTTTGTTTTCAAAATTACTACTATCAGTAACTGAGAGGGCAGCAGAATCTCCTTAATTGAAATAAAGCATCCTTGATCATACAACATTGCTAATTAAGTGATAATTTCCATTATTACTTATCACCTTCACTTAATGAATTGCTTTTAGTAAGCAGAGCATAGAGCTTTAATGCAGAACTACAAAGCAAAACTGGGTTTATGTTTTTGGATTCTTCATGAGGTTGAAATCTGCTTACAGTTTTAGATTTTATTTAATGTTTTCTTGGAAGACTCTGGATTATTGAGAAATGTATCAAGGTATTGAAACAACCCCAAAAATGAAACCACAATAATTCCAAAGGAAAAACCCATTGTTTATTCAAAACACAGAGCTGTTTCAATGTTATGTGTGCTTTCTTTTGGTTCAAACATTGGAAGACCCAAGGAAGAAGGTCTTTGATAACCTCTTTATTTAATGTTTTCTTGGAAGACTCTGGATTATTGAGAAATGTATCAAGGTATTGAAACAACCCCAAAAATGAAACCACAATAATTCCAAAGGAAAAACCCATTGTTTATTCAAAACACAGAGCTGTTTCAATGTTATGTGTGCTTTCTTTTGGTTCAAACATTGGAAGACCCAAGGAAGAAGGTCTTTGATAACCTCTGCGTGCTTTCTTTTGGTTCAAACATTGGAAAACCCAAGGAAGAAGGTCTTTGGTAACCTGTCAGTTGCTTGGACACTGCAGCCAATCAGTATCTGTCTACTTAAAATTCTGTTGAATGCTCCAGCACATTATGGCCAGGCTGATGTTTCTGATACAGCTATGGTGGCCATTCACAAAATCATCTCTCCTTGGAAAACAGCAGCCATAAAGGACCAGAAAGATGTCACCAATCCTGTTATTTTCATCTCTTACCTAAAATGATACCCACCCAAGTCCTCTTCACTTCTCATGCTGACCAGTATGACTTAATTAGCAGGAGTAGTGTGGTGTGATTAAAACAAAACAAAACAAAATCTGCCCCTTGTTTGCTGCTGCCTCTAATCCTGAAGGAACAATGAGTTGGTCTGTTCCCTGGCAATTGTTCCAGTTAAGCAGCCATGTATAAGTGGTGTATTTATGTTAAACTAAACAGCTGTGGTCCTGACTCTCCATTCATGGTCCTCACCTTCTGCACAGTACACAAGGTATATATGCCAAAAGTATATCAGGAGTATATTTCAAACTGAGGATTACAAGAAGCCTGACAAAATCACATTTAAGGTCTTGTTCCAGAGAGTATTCTCAAGGGAAACCTTGCTTTATGTGTCTAATTAATTGGTGAGGTTCACCCAGGAGACTGGGGATAAGACCTCTACGTCAGCAAAATAAAGCAAAGGATATTTGATGACTGCAGTTGGTCAAGCCTGGATTTCACCACCCACCTCACGAGGTCCAGGCATACCTCATCTGTCCTGCATAGGAAATGGTTCAGGGCTTACTCAGAAAAGGATTTAAACAAGATGTTACACCATTTCATTCACAAGGTCTTCCATCCACCATGATTAAGCACAGACTATGCCTGAGGTTTTTTGTTTTTTGTAACTTCTGATGTGGTATTTCTCCACTAGAGCCTGTGGCACTGGCAAATAAAGGACACAGAGGGGTTTCACCTTTGCTTTCACTAAGCTGCTGTCTGTGCATAGTTAATGAGGCCTGGTGGAAATTATGTGAAATGCATTAAGAACATAATCAAACAATTCAGCTTAGAGTCTCTGTTCTTATACCAATTTTCATTTCAATGTAGTTTGGTAGATTTTCTTATGCTTTTGCTTGCATCTCCCAATGAGGTACCATGATATAGACTATACATCAGAACTGAAGTTTCCTGAAGAATCAGGCTGCTGCTCTTGCCATTTTAGCTTTGAGAGTAAGATACACAACCAAAAATATAAAATGAGGCATGGTTAAGAATTTTACTTGCTAGGATTCTAAATAAAAACTACCCTCTTTCAGTTTTTCCTAACATGGAGATTTTACTGAAGATGAGAAATGAACATGACCAGCTGTTCTATGAGAAGAGAATCTTGAAGAAAATGTAATGTCTATGTAAACCACATCTTGGCCTAGGCTGCAAAATGCAGTTTCCCCAGAGTCAGCAGGGAGCTGTGGTGATCTGGAATTTTGATCCAGCCCATTAATGAAACAGGGTCCAGCTGCAACATAGCAATTTGTGTTCTGATGCTGAGTGTTGGGGCTGTTCTGAAGGAGGGTGTGAGGAAAAGCAGCCAGTTAACATTACCTAAGAAAACTCCAAGCAAGACAAAGAAGAACTGCAGTGTTAAGCCAGCTTGTAATTTTACTCTGAGTACACATAATAAGTAGGTTGTTTGACGAATCAAAGATGAGGGAGATGTAGGTTGCTGTTATTGAACAAAAGCCTGTCTGTGTCTAAGAAAATAGATTATCTAAGAGTGGTTAAATTAGACTCTCCTCTCTCAAATGCACTGCCCCCTCCACCCCCCATCCCATGGCTCCTGTGCTGCTAAGGCAAAGCCATGGGGGAATTAATTGTGTTAAAGACTGTGGAGTGCCCTTTTTGGGTCAGTTTGTCTGTTTTTCCTAAACTTTCCAACACAGCTCCCATCTGGAAAGTCTCTCTCTACCCTCCCCCAGACCATCTTTAACCTGGCAAGATTTCCCAAGATGCACATGAACTCCTAAAGAAAAGTGACCAACTTTCAAATCTCAATGTCCTAAAATAAGAATAATTTATCTCAATCTTCCTTAAAATGGATTTACTGCTGAAGAAGAGAAATGTCTATAATTTACATGCTAAAATAAGGATAATCCATCTCAATCTCCCTTTAAATGGACTTGCCCATAATGTCATTTTTATGAAGGTCCACAGGACTAAAATAAGGTTAGAATAAAACTCTGTAGAGTTATAGCTATAATTTGCTAATGTCACAGAAATCCAAACTCTTTTTTTTTTTTTTTGTTCCAGATTGGATTTGGGAAAAAAAAAATTTCTTTAAACTTCTGCTGAGATTTTTCTCAAAGTCAAAACTAGTCACAATGACTCCTGAAATCTGAGCCAGCTTTCAACTGTAGTGTCCCTTAAAGCTGTGTTTATGCAACTCATGGTAAACAATCTGGAAAACACACTTCTGAAAGCTGTGATACATGCACTAAGGGAGTCTCAACAGCCCTCACTTCTACTTGATTTAAGTAAAAAAATATTAGATGTCTCATATTTGCCCTTCTTACCTCTTTGATTCTTTGATTATAGTTGCAATGATTTAAGGAAAATATTTCGTATGTTCAGACTTCAGGAAAAAAAAACCCAAACAGCTTTCTTTGCTGGCTTTAAAAATTTTAAGAGAGGAAACATTACTTGGCTCCAGTTTTAACTTTTGAAAGCTGATACCTTTGCTAGCTAGCTAGCACTTCCAGAGACTCTAGGGAGAGAATGCTACAGTCATTCCTTAGCCTCAGCTGAAACAAGAAAGAAACATCTGCTTATGAAACAACAATATAAATCTGAAGCAAAGATGAAACCAACACTTACCACTGCTAGTTCTTTGTCTGTTTTGGGAGTGCTGTCTCCAGGAAACTTAATGATTGGTGACGGTGCACCTAAAGTTTTGTTAAAAAGATACACTTGGATGAACAGTACTTTAAAAACGAATCCACAGCCAATGTGAGTCTTCATTCTGCCTAAACTTGTGCTCTCCTCTTTGAAAAAAGCTTTTCCCCACTGCCTCTCCGTTACTTTAGCTGCACAGTGCACCAGTTGCTTATCTGCACATCTTAACTCTCGGCACCGTTTTCCCTTTTGCTTGCTCTAGCAATTCCTTTGTATGTTTAAAACATCCAGATGCGCAGTCTCAAGCTACCACAAGAGGAAGTCTGAAAACTAGTGGAAACATGAGAAAAGGGCAGTTACCAGATGTGATTGCTGTGATTTTAAGGTAGCAACAGGCAGATACTTATTATTGCTGAAAGAGGCCACGTTTTCTCTTCATTTGCATATATAAAAGTGTTTACTTATGCCAGAGAGCAGGAAAAAAACCCCAAAATTTGGCTTAATCTTGAAGATTCCCACATATATTTTCAATTTTTTTAAAAAAACCCTAAAATTGCTAAACATTATTTTTCTGGTTAATCATTTTTGTTGATTTTTTAGCCTATTTTTATGGCACAGATATAATAATATGCTTTACTCATGTGTGGTTACACTCCTTACAGCAAACATTTTGATTCTGGATTTTGAGGCAGACCCAGCAGAGGCCAGTGCAGCTGAGCAAGGCTGCTTGTCCCTCTCCTGCTGAGGCTACTCAGGCTCTGGGTCTGTGTACACAGGGCTCACCCCCACTTGGTGTGAGCTCTGCTCCCTCCCTGCTCTGTGCAGAATGTGCAGAGCTCTGAATAAGATTCTTGTGGCTGGTTGTGTTTAGAACCAGCCTGAGGCTTTGCCACCAACAGGCACAGTGTATTACCTTCATCTGTGGGGTAAGAGATAATTAGGCAGATTCAGCAACAGAAATGAATGTCAATAACTGATGTCAGGAGAACTGTATAAAGTTCAGGATTTGCTTATAATGGGGGTTTGATCTGCTGGTGCAGCTGCCTTAGACTCAGATTTTGATGTAAATATGGCCATTGTCAGGGACAATCTATTTATTGTGTCATTCATAATATTGCCAGCTTTGAGATGTTATTACAAGTGGAATATTTTTTTTAGCTGAATATCCCTAATCTAGGGGCTTGGCTCATGACTTTTGAGGACAGGAGGTTGGCAATTCTGCATGAATGCAAACTGTGTTCTGGCCAGCCAAGTGTCTACAGTTTCTACTAAACACCAGTCCAGCCACGACAGTTCCTCGGGGCCGTGTCCACCGTAAAGATTATCACAGCTTTCCACGGAATGTTAAACGTTCCAGATATGATTCCTGTTAACAAATAGGGCTGTTAATGAAAAGGGAATGCTTTCCTGGTGTTTGGGGTTTACTGATAATATTTGATTTTTGACTGTAAATAGCTACTATTGACGGTTCTTTGGTTTACGCTAATATCGAGTTATTTTGCTGTCTGCACCCCATCATCCGTGAACTGAGTAGTCTTACATAAAGGCAAGGATTTCAAAGCAGGGGCTGAGGGGCTCAGGGAGAAAGCATTTGCAGAAACTTTTGCTGCCCATGCATTTCCACTGACAACCCAACACGGCTACTGGGTCAATCAGCCATGGGAAGAGACACTTCATGCTCAGGAGAGAAAGAGGAGTTCCAGGAACTTCGTGCATGAATGGAGCTTTCTTTGTAAGCAAGTAGCTTTGTATTTATACCCACTCATCCTTTCAGGAACGAATCTGATGTGACTTGAGTTACAGTAAGCAACTTTCCCCTAATGGTTTGGCTTTGAAATTACACCTTCTTTTTTTAGCTTTCCCCCATCAGCAAAAACCCATGGTCATTTAAAGCGTTGCCTTAATAAATAGCAGTTCTGGAAATATGATCCAGTTTTTCCAGAGCCTGGTACTTGGTTGTGGAGAATGACTCTTCTGCTTTGCTTGTGATGACAGCTCATATTTGTGTCTGGTCGTGTGACACCGTAAGAGAACAAAGGCTAAGAAAGGTTTCACTAGATGTGCCAAGTTACTCTTAGCTTCTCCTTAATTAAGGAAGTAAAAATACTATACGTCGTGTTGCAAGATTCTGCAGTTATCTCTGTGCTCTGCATTAGGCCAAGAGCTGCTGTAAATCTTAAAGTATGAGAACAGTGTAATTTTTGTAAGAATTTTAATATGATTTATGATAGCTTTGTAGCTTTCATTTAGAAGGGTACTGCAGTGAAGCCATTTAAAGCCCAATGTGTGCTGGCACATTCCTGTTGCACTCATAAGCCTCAATGAAAACTAATGAATGCTCAGTTCTCAGCGTGTCCTAATGAACATTGAGTCAGAAATGGATGAAGAAACTTTGGAATGGACTGTGAGGTTTATGCAGTTTGAAAATCTCACTGTATTTTGTTTCTTATCTTTGCTGGCAATGAGAGTAGCTTGAGGCCACCTTCTAAATGCACTTCCTAAAAAAATTGGCAAAGCAACAGAAACCATGCAGACCTGCAGTGAAGCATTCTCACCTTTGGTCGCATTGAGTCAGAAATGGATGAAGAAACTTTGGAATGGACTGTGAGGTTTATGCAGTTTGAAAATCTCACTGTATTTTGTTTCTTATCTTTGCTGGCAATGAGAGTAGCTTGAGGCCACCTTCTAAATGCACTTCCTAAAAAAATTGGCAAAGCAACAGAAACCATGCAGACCTGCAGTGAAGCATTCTCACCTTTGGTCGCTGTTTTGCACAGAAACCATGCAGACCTGCAGTGAAGGATTGTTTCTCACCTTCGGTCACTGTTTTGCTGGTAAATTGCTTTGCTGGTACTCCTTCAGTGAGTGAGCAGTTAAGCAAGTTATGTTCAATTAGGAGATATATTACATAACAGAATATTGGATTTATGGGTACTGGGTGAATCCACAGATTGAGTTTCTGAGCAGTCAGTGAAAGGCATTCTCTTCCATTAGCACATGAGCTTATGCCCTCTCTCAGATAAGCAAAGCAAAATAAATACTGGTGACACTTTGTGAGAGCAGAAGTTCTATTGTATTGCGACTAAATTTGAGGTAAAATGATTCTTACCTCCTTCTATTTGTCTTTAAGCTCCATGGGAACATTCTGTTCCTAGTGTGCTACAAAAGTGCTGCTTTTGCAGGCTGAGATCACAGTGGTGCTACCCCCTGGAAGTAGGGACATTCTGCTGCTGTCTGGTCTCTGCTTTAAGCCAGTGGTTGGGCTGGACAACTTCCTGAGGTCTGTTACAGCCCAAATTACTCCATCACCCTTCATTTGAACAGACATGGTATGGTGTGTTTTCTGTTCTCATATTTGAGAAGCTGAAAATCAGGAAGACAGAGTCTGAAGCATTTGAACTGATGTATTTTGACATTGACAGATTGATGGTTTAACTGCTGTTAGTGTTTGGTGCATATACATTCCTCAACACTCCATAGTCTGAAGAGATTGCCTCTGACATTAATTAGTGACTTCTGGATAGATTCCTTGGAAGTTAAAAATTAAGGAAAGAAGCAATACAAAACAAAAGAAAGAAGGAAAAGCCCCGCTGAGAAGAGAACATAAGGCCATCTACCAATTTTATGGAAGAGCTGAAATAGTAAACTTACCTTAATACTCTAGAGGATATTACATCTATGTACACAGACACTACCTCTGGATTAACTATGGAAAATGAACACAGTTATAGCTCCTACTACAGCCTTGACCTGACCTATTTGTGGTAAAAAATAATTTCTGTGCTGCATATAATTTCTATATTATTTGTTTGATACATGCATTGATTTCTCTTTCCTGAGTCAAAAAGCTCCTCTCTAGCTCCTGTGTTTGTTTCAGGTTAGTACCACTCCATACCAAAAATTTTAAACCATCTACTTTGTAAGATGCCAGATTTACTTTTTAGCTGCTGACTTTCATGCATTAATAGGAACTGTATGGCAGAAACCACACAGTCTGAGATGGCAAATGCCTCTTTTGAGGACATACTTCAGTAATAACAGTAAAAAGGGAATCATGATGTCTTTTGAGCTGTAAGCTACATATCTCAGTAGATCTGAGTGTGATAAGAGACACATGAGTGTGCATTAACATGCTGTTTTTATCAAAGGATTTTTCTAGTTTCATAAAATTATTTTTGAAACGATTCAGGAGCACTCAGCAGTTTCAGGATTAGACTTCAGATAGTATCCTGGGTAATTTGCTGACAGAGTAGTCATCCCTCCATAAATGCACTGTAGCAATTCCTACTGTCACTAATTCCAAAATTTTATCAAAAGCTTGTGATTTCCTGGTTGTTCCAGAGGAGTATGTTAGGCAGAGTGTCAGCAAGCAGAGGCCATGGGAGGATGATGGATTTATTCCTAGTGGTGTTTCATGTTTGAAATTGAAACCTGTTGCTAGGCTGAAGAAATAAATAATCATCAGGACAATTAGGATCTCCAGAAAGCAGCTGATCCTCTGATTACTGACCCAGCTGGCTCTAACTGGGTGCAGTGGGATGTGCCTCTCCAAGTAAACTATTGCACTGTGTATATAACCTCTTCTCATGTTTCTTACTTCTAGGCTATGTGCTGTTAGTTTATAGCTTCTAGCTTAGGAAGCAAACCCAAAGTTTGATTAATGTAGATGGACTCCCGCTGATTTTAGCAGGATCTGTGAAAAAGAAAGAACTGATTAAAATTGTCAGAGCTAATGTAGTGTTCTTGGAGTGTTTCAAGCAAATCTAAGGAACTGGAAAACCTGAAACTCAGGTGATGAAAAAGTTTGCCTGAGCTTCAGGAAAACTGCCAGCACAACTATCCCAAGGTCAGTTTAGCCAGACCTTTGGCTTCTTCTCAGGTTTCCAAGGTTGCCTTGTGACTCATTCTCTTTGCAGAGATCCCGTCCTGTAATTTCTCCTGGATCATCAGTCCAGAGTCTTCTTTCTTCCTGCCTGAGGAAGAGATGTTTCTAAGTACCAGGAAACCAAAATGCTTACAGAAGAAAGCATGGAACCAGACCGTGCTAAGGAGAGGTTTTGATGCCTTTTGCCACATCTGCCTTGTAGGGCTATGTGGTAGAAAGTGTCAAGGCTACCAGTGCAGTGCCAGGCTGAGACCTCACTGAACCTGAGGTGTATAGGAATCATTTATCTACTCACTGCTCTTTCTTAGTGGTGCCTCTGCTGAAGATGGACCATCTATTCAAATAACAGTATTGACATACTAAGGGATTATATTCTTACTGGTGTTTGACACTGGCAAGATACTGAGCTCCA